CCCCATTGCATAGTTACAAGCATGGTATAGACCCCAGGATCCCCATTGGGCGATTTCAGGCACTCTAGAGACACTAGGATCCCCACTGGGTGATTACAGGCATGGTATAGACACTAGGATCCCCACTGGGTGATTACAGGCATGGTATAGACACTAGGATCCCCACTGGGTGATTACAGGCATGGTGTATAGGTCCCAGGATCCCCAGTGGGTGATTACAGGCACTCTATAGACACCAGGATCCCCACTGGGTGATTACAGGCAAGGTGTATAGGTCCCAGGATCCCCATTTGGTGATTACAGGCATGGTGTATAGGTCCCAGGATCCCCAGTGGGTGATTACAGGCACTCTATAGACACTAGGATCCCCATTGGGTGATTACAGGCACTCTATAGACACTAGGATCCCCATTGGGCGATTACAGGCATGGTGTATAGGCCCCAGGATCCCCATTTGGCGATTACAGGCATGGTGTATAGGCCCCAGGATCCCCATTTGGCGATTACAGGCATGGTGTATAGGTCCCAGGATCCCCATTGGGTGATTACAGGCACTCTATAGACACCAGGATCCCCATTGGGTGATTACAGGCACTCTATAGACACCAGGATCCCCATTGGGTGATTACAGGCCCTCTATAGACACCAGGATCCCCACTGGGTGATTACAGGCCCTCTATAGACACCAGGATCCCCATTGGGTGATTACAGGCCCTCTATAGACACCAGGATCCCCATTGGGTGATTACAGGCACTCTATAGACACCAGGATCCCCATTGGGTGATTATAGGCCCTCTATAGACACCAGGATCCCCATTGGGTGATTACAGGCCCTCTATAGACACCAGGATCCCCATTGGGTGATTACAGGCCCTCTATAGACACCAGGATCCCCATTGGGTGATTATAGGCCCTCTATAGACACCAGGATCCCCATTGGGTGATTTCAGGCACTCTATAGACACCAGGATCCCCACTGGGTGATTTCAGGCACTCTATAGACACCATTACAGGCATGGTGTATAGGTCCCAGGATCCCCACTGGGTGATTACAGGCATGGTGTATAGGTCCCAGGATCCCCAGTGGGTGATTACAGGCATGGTGTATAGGTCCCAGGATCCCCACTGGGTGATTACAGGCATGGTGTATAGGTCCCAGGATCCCCACTGGGTGATTACAGGCATGGTGTATAGGTCCCAGGATCCCCACTGGGTGATTACAGGCATGGTGTATAGGTCCCAGGAACCCCACTGGGTGATTACAAAATATTTGTTTTGCCATAAAGAAAGGTAAAGATGGGGTTTTTAAGGTATCAAGAGGTAATGGGTGGAATATTGTCTGCTTTCCCAATTATAAAAGAAAAAAAAAAAAGACATAATAATTTAACTGGTTGGACGTATAAAGTTGAAAACCTCCTTATGTAAAACATGCCTACTTATATGTCAGACTGAGTTGGGATTCTAGCAAAAATATTATGTCTTAAATGATTGTCTCATTAGTCTTCTTATAGAGACAGTAGAATTATCCCCATATTAACTTTACTTACTCTGAGGACAGAATTCAGAGGGCCTGCAGTTGTTGTGTCATTATAATACATGCTGTCTCCCAGCTCATTAGTGTGCATAACATTATGAGAAAGCAAAGTTGTTAAACTGAAAATTCAGAGCCATTGGTGACTGATAATCTAACATTGTGGTGTTCTACAAGATAGAAAGCCCCGTGTTAGTGATGCCATGTGCAGTCTTCCATTTATTAAGAATCTACAAGTCCCCACAAGCCGTATCAGGGCATGCTGGGAGCTGCAATTCTTCTGCATGTTGGCTACTATGTACACTCCCAAATATTATACAAATTCACAATGCCTGGCACCAGCACAGGTCCGTACCCCTTAACTCTCACCTTCCTGGGAGGGGGTTGTGGGAAGGGACACAAATGGGGCATGAATGGTTGTAGTCAGCACTTACATACAGTCATTCGCTCCAATGGAGATGGGGTTTGATGGTGAGTCTGGGATGCGGTGAGGGACCTCACATACGGTCGTTCTACTGTCAGCCCTGTCTCGGCCTGCAAAGAACAGACGGTGCCCAATCAGAGAAGAGGATGGAGTGGAGGGGCAGAAGAAGGGGGAAAGTAATGCATGTGGAGGGGGGAGGAGGAGAAAGCACTTAGAGACATCTCCTCAGCTGAGCACATGTGACTTCCTCTGGCGGCCATCTTGTCCAGAAAATTCAGACCTATCACTACGGATTTCACATCTTATCTGCTCAACAGAACCAACAACAAAAACAAAATTCCAGCAACCAATACCAGATCACATAATGATAACGTTCAATTACATCAGACTCTTATGTAAAAGAATTCCACTTTTCAAAAAAAGAGAAAGAAAAAAAAAAAACAAAAACAAAAAAACAACAAAACAAAAACCTTCCCAACCTACTAAGGTCAGCTTATTCTGTACAGGTGATGGCACGTGGGATGTTTTTTCAGTCTCATTGTGTCGAGGTGATAATCAGTTGATTGTAAACTGTCCACAGCTTTTCGTGAAAACTTGTTTGGCTCTTTATGGTGGGGAAGGACAGATATTTTATTTTGAGCTTTAGGCTAGGTTCACACTAATGCGGTGCGGCACATCACACAGGAACCGCACCGCATTCCCCTGCAAATCACATGCGAATTCTGTGTCGTGTGATTTGAGCCATACATTGTGTATGGCTCAAATCGCACCACATCAAAAAGGTGCAGGACCCTTTTTTGGGTCCGCACTAGAATCGGATCGCATGGGTATTCACACCTATTTGATCCGATTCTGCACATCGCACTGCATTTTGCAGACTGATTTCATGGTGTTGTTAACTTAACCACTTCCAGTCCGGACACTTTTACCCCCTTCCTGTCCAGGGCAATTTTCAGCGCTATCACACTTTGAATGACAATTGCGCGGTCATGCAACACCGTACTCATATGAATTTTTTACCATTTTATTGAGACATATAAAGCTTTATTTTGGTGGTATTTATACACCGCTGGGATTTTTATTTTTTTTTGCTATGTAAACTAAAAAAATTCAAAAATTTTGAAAAAAAAGTGTTTTTCTTATAAAATTTTGCAAATAAATAATATTTCATCAGAAATCTTGGCCAAAATTTATTCCATTATCTTTTTAGTAAAAAAAACAAAGCCAAATTAGTTTATAACCAAAAATTATAATTTTTAAACATTTTTTTAACATTTTTATATTATTATTTATGGGGTTTTTTTGGGGTTTTTTTTTTTTACATACTGTCACCCTAACAGTTCAGTGTCACCATGGTAACACTGTACTACTTGTGGGGGGTGATGAAGATTTTTTTTTTTTTACACTGATTGCTTTTACACCCATATAGGATGTAAAAGCAATCATTTCTCTTTCTCTCTGTCTGCATTCCTGCACTCATTGAGAAGTACTGAGTGAGCTGTGATTGGTCACAGCTTGTTACATGGTACAAGGCTGTTGTGAATAGCCTTGTACCATGTGACCTCTGTGATCATTCACAGATTTCACACGTAGTAAGCAATGATGTCACAAGTGACATCTTGCTTACTACTTTGCATGTGATCACTGATTAGCCAATCAGTGATCACATGATCAGGACCTCGCACAGAGGCCCCGTACGACGATTGGTGTTTCACTGTGTCCGGGGGACACAGCGGGCACCGGATCGCGGTGCTGCGCGCTCCCAAGGAGTGCGCACAAGCAGGGTGCGGGGAGGCCGTTTATAAAGGATGGATGTTGAAGTCAAACTCATCTCTCCTGCTAACAAAGTGATTATGTGGCCAGGCCATGGACATTCAAATATCTACAAATTCCCAGCAAACATTAAATCAGCTTTAAAACAAGCCCTCACTGACCTCTCTGTAGCTGCAGTCAGTGTGGGAGAACGCACCCTACATGTTCGCAGCAAAAACACTAAAATCCTTCTCTCTGCCCCCTATTCTGCAGTTACCAGAAAATAAAAAGGTAAAGAGCAATTGGGCTAGATTGACACAAGAAGGTGGAAGGTCCTCTTTATTGACTTCAGTATTTATTCTGCAAAACTTGAGCATGGATTGGTAGTCTACAGTGCCTGGGGCTAGGGAGACTGATGAGGGTTTGTTTTAAGTCCTCCTGCACACGAGACGGTTTTTACAGCGGCTGTTTTTGGCTTTTGATGTTTTTTTTCTACAGCTAGTAAACCCCCCAGCATGTTATCCTATGTGTCCATACACACACAGACTGGAATCAATGTTTTTTGACTGGTGGACTAGTGGGTTTCTAGAGAAGTATTTTAGCTGTAAAAACACTCTAACGCTGAAAAACGTGGTAAAATGCTGCAAACCAGCGTTTTTGGACGTTTATTTGACCCAAAAAAAAATGGGTTTTTTTTTTATGGCTAAAAAAAAAAAAAAAAAAAAAAACGCAAAAAAAGCAAATGTAGAAAAACGCTAATTGTGGCAAAACACTGCTAAACTCTAAGACAAAAATGCTAAAAAACTCAAGTTTTTAACGTGACTTTACACAGCTAACGTTACCAGTGTTATTAAAAACGCCCCGTGTGCATGAGGGCTAAAGCTCATTTAGGGCTTCTTAGGAATAGGTATATACCGGAAAGTCCACAGTCCTGCCACAGACTCACTTTAAGCTCTTTTACAGCCCATTAGCAAAAGGTAGAGCTGCTGTTAATGTCGCAGACTTCATGCCAAATTAGAGATACAGGGCAACAAGGGGATCAGTAAAAAAAAAAAAAGCCCTCTAAAAGGGGGGTCATACACTGATATAAACAGCACTATAAATGGTCAGATGAAAAAAAAAACATGCCTGTGTGCCATCACCCTGAGATTAGATAAGTGCTGACATATTCTCTGCTGGTAATGCGAAGAACCCTTACCATGCAACCTTTGCGAAGACACCACATAGCTGATGAGGGTGACATCACTTGAGCCACCTGACTCCAGAGGTATCGGGTGCACTCGAAAGTGCTCTAGCATGTCGAAGATGGTCTGAAACCAGAGGTGTTGCACTCGGCACTGGCCATCCTCATTCAGGGACAAGCGGAGGTGCTGTGGGAGGAAAGTGGAAATTATCCTTTGTGGAAGGAGGAAGTACAGAGGTGGGACAATAGAATATAAAGAGTGACCGACCTTGGCTTTGCCCTGGAAGTTGAAAGTCAGCACGTACTCCCCTCTTCGAGTCTCGCTCTGCCGCACCAAAAAGACACCGTGGCTGTTGGTGCCCCCTGCGAGCACAAGCTGGGCTGCTTTAAGTCGTGACAGTGTACCATGGAACCACTGGTACTCCGATAATGGGTGCTCCCCATCTCCAGGGTCCTGCTCTCCTTGGCATAGGAATGAAGCTAGAAAAAAAAAAAGTAAATTTCACAAATAAAACAACAAAAATAGACTTCAGGTCTACAGTACCAACCTTCTAAAGGTACCAAGCTGAAACTGAACATACCCGGGTGTATGGCCCAGAGTGAAAGGTTAATAGGTCATCCTACTGAAATGGGATATTTCAACTACAGTAGGAGTTTGGTGCGCTTGGTTCCAATCATCCTAGGAGTTTTACATGTTCCCGTCCTCTATAGTGTCTCATTCCTCCTGCTACAGAGAAGTAAAAGCAACAGGGAGAGCTTGGACTCCTCATATACCACACAGCAGGTCTGCCGACCCGGAAACTTAGTGCAGAGATCTCACCAAAACAGCTCCTGGGAGACAGATGAGACAGAAGAGACCGCCAGATGAATGAGTTTCCCACCATCTACCTGTATGGACTGACTACCTCCTAAATGAAAAGCACTGTTTTGCATGAGAATTGTGGAGCACATTTAGGAGTGTTGCATAGATCACCATTGGTACTGTTGCTTGTCTTAAAGTGTTACTAAACCCCGAACCCCGCATTCACTGTATCCGCTCTCCCCGGACCCAGCATTCACTGTATCCGCTCTCCCCGGACCCAGCATTCACTGTATCCGCTCTCCCCGGACCCAGCATTCACTATATCCGCTCTCCCCGGACTCTGCATTCACTATATCCGCTCTCCCCAGACCCTGCATTCACTATATCCGCTCTCCCCGGACCCTGCATTCACTATATCCGCTCTCCCCGGACCCCGCATTCACTATATCCGCTCTCCCCGGACCCCGCATTCACTATATCCGCTCTCCCCGGACCCCGCATTCACTATATCCGCTCTCCCCCGGACCCCGCATTCACTATATCCGCTCTCCCCGGACCCCGCATTCACTATATCCGCTCTCCCCGGACCCCGCATTCACTATATCCGCTCTCCCCGGACCCCGCATTCACTATATCCGCTCTCCCCGGACCCCGCATTCACTATATCCGCTCTCCCCGGACCCCGCATTCACTATATCCGCTCTCCCCGGACCCCGCATTCACTATATCCGCTCTCCCCGGACCCCGCATTCACTATATCCGCTCTCCCCGGACCCCGCATTCACTATATCCGCTCTCCCCCAGGACCCTCGCTCTCCCCGGACCCCGCATTCACTATATCCGCTCTCCCCGGACCCCGCATTCACTATATCCGCTCTCCCCGGACCCCGCATTCACTATATCCGCTCTCCCCGGACCCCGCATTCACTATATCCGCTCTCCCCCGGACCCCGCATTCACTATATCCGCTCTCCCCGGACCCCGCATTCACTATATCCGCTCTCCCCGGGCCCCGCATTCACTATATCTGGTCTCCCCGGACCCTGCATTCACTATATCCGCTCTCCCCGGACCCTGCATTCACTATATCCGCTCTCCCTGGACCCTGCATTCACTATATCCGCTCTCCCAGGACCCTGCATCCACTATATCTGGTCTCCCACAGTACACAGAACATGGAAATGAAATTATTTTAGTAAATATAAACTGCTAAATACCTTTTCTTATCAGCAGTTAGAGCAGTCTTGTGACTTAAGCTGAGCACTGGTTAATGCTTGTAGGAGGAGTTTTCTTTCTGCTCTAGGAGGATGTGAAACCTATGACCTCTGTCTGGACAGTGCTGATTGGCCCTGTAATGATCACATGCACTCTCCAAAGAAAAAAAAAGCCCTCTCTAGCAATACACACCAAACTGAGCATGTGTGACTACTGATTCAGTCTGTATCAGGTGGCCATTTCAACAAGAGGAGGGGCAGAGAAGACAGGATCAAACAGCCTTTTTACACAATGCAGAGGATTAACCCCTTAGGTCCCACAGTGAGTATAACAAGCATGCTTTACTGCATCTACAGACTGATTGTACTGTTGTGGGTTTAGTAACACTTTACATTTTTGGACGTTTTATGGACACATAGGGCTTGTTTTACTAAAGGTAAATAGGCTGTGCGCTTCAAGTGCACTGAAAGTGCAGTTGTTCTAGATCTGAGGGGAACTTGCAAGGAGAATAAAAAAAACTGCATTTTTGCCTGCACATGATTGGATGAAAGAAATCAGCAAAAACTTTGCCTCATCTCAGAGCTTCCGCTCGGATCTAAAGCGACTTCACCTGCCGTGCACAGACTATTTACCTTTAGTAAATCAACCCCACAGTGTTTGTTTGTTGGATTAGCACGTTAGTCATAGTTTTTTATTTGGATATATAGGATAGTTTGCTGAGAATTGTTACACAGTTGTACACAGTTGCTGGTGGCATACACGGATACCTAGCGCCCAAGTATTTCTGCAGTACATGCACAGCATCCTTGTGTATTTTACATGGGTGATTTGGGAACAGCAGAGGTATTCCAAGCATCTGGAGTGATATCTTTGGCGCAGTGATTTAGGTGTATAGTTGATTGCGCAGATCTGCACTGAGAATGATTGACAAAACGTGTGAGGACGGGTTTCCTTTCCTTTCAGAAGGAACCCGTTAGAAGACCCTCACTGGCTTTGTGTACTCACTCCTAGTTAAGCACCCGAAATCTATGCAAACTGTACGCACCTGTAGTGTCAGGGGTGTCTGGAAAAGGGGCCCCCATAGCGGTTTGAGGTCTCTCCCCCTCATCAATAGGTGCTCGAGGAGGCAGCTCTGGTGGGAGAAGTTCCATAGAGTCAAAGTGTGAGGCGGTCATGGAAACTGAAGTGGGTGAGATGGATGCAGAGGGCCGATCAGAAAGGCCACCATAGGCTCCTATTAGTGAATTAAAGAAGCAGTCAAGGAAGATATATCCCCGCCAGCCAGAATCCATTTGCATCACTCAGGTTTAAACATATGCCATTTATTATTATTTATTTCAGGTACTTTTATAGCACCATCATTTTACGCAGCGCTTTACATATTTATTGTACATTCACATCAGTCCCTGACCCTCAAGGGGCGTACAATCTAAGGTCCCTAACCCTCAAGGGGTGCACAATCTAAGGTCCCTAACTCACATTCATACATACACATACTAGGCACAATTTAGACAGGATCCAATTCACCTACCAGCATGTCTTTGGAGTGTGGGAGGAAACCGGAGTACCCGGAGGAAACCCACGCAGGCACAGAGAGAACATGCAAACTCAGGCAGGTGGTGCCGTGGTTGGGATTCGAACCAACGACCCGAGTACTGCCAGGCGGAAGTGCTAACCATTTAGCCACTGTGCTGCCCATTAAAACAAACCTGTGTGCTTTGCTTATTCAGATTTTCTTTAAAACTCCAAACTGAGCAACATGTACTTACTTCTTTCTGGTTTCGTCACGGCTTTTTTTTCCCTAGAGTCAATGTTAAAATCTAGTTGGGGGAGCATTAGACAGCAGACCACCCTAAGTAACGCCCCCATGTGATATCTCTAGGATTGAAAGAACTAAAGTCCAATTAATGAAAAGGGCTGGTCCCTAACAGTCAAGCTGGGGAGGAAAGGGCTAGATGATTAGGGATGTTCTCCAACTAGGAAATGAGGTAGGTTCTGACTCGCTGCAGCTTCTAATGCAGACTGTAGGAAGCTCAGAGTAGCCAATTTCAGTACAGGAAAGGAGCCTATACAACTGTGCAAAACTGAAGGGAAGGCTGGAATTCAGCTTGAACCCCTCCAGAGGATTTGCCCCCCTTCCTGGCCAGGCCATTTTTTACAATACGGCGTTGCATTACTTTAACAGTTGCGCGGTCATGCAACACTGCACCCAAATGAAATTTATGTCTTTTTTTCCCCCCACAAATGGAACTTTCTTTCGGTGGTATTTGATCGTCAGTGAGGTTATTATTTTTTGCACTATAAACAAAAAAAGACCAAATATTTTGAAAAACAAAATTGATATTTTTTACTTTTTTCTATAAAACATATCCAGTAAAAATGTCTTAAATTTAGGCCAAAATGTATTCTGCTCCATGTCTTTGCTAAATGCCAATATGTGTAAATTAATTGGTTTACATGAAAGTTATAGTGTTTACAAATGGCGGAATAGATACTGGGATTTTTTTTTTCTTTTATACTAGCAATGGCGGCGATCAACGACTTATAGTGGGACAGCGGTGGGCATTCTGAGACTGAAAGGAAACTGACTAACTGCCACTGACATCCCCAGTGACACTAATACAGTGATCAGTGCTAATAAACAGCACTGATACTGTACTAATGGCACTGGCAGGAAGGGGTTAGCATCTGGGGCAATCAAAGGGTTAACTGTGTGCTGGGAGTGTTTTACTGTGTAAGCATGCTGCTATGCAGAGCAATACAAAGTAGCATGCTGGTGCTGACAGGGGAGAGATCTGTATTGTTTACATACAGACCTCTCCCCTGTCAGTGTTCCTAGGCAATCGCTGGGTACTGGCAGGGAATCTCCATCCGGGACCCAGTGACTGACAGCTGTAGCCGCCAATGGCGGTGCAGGTCTGGAAACACAAAATCACACATATATCTATCTATCTATCTATTTATGCGATTTTATGCAGCCCTGAAGCCCTGTAGCAGTAGTTCTGCTATAGGGTAGTCGGGAAGAGGTTAAAGCAAATTCATTGTTTTGCCCTGAATGGTAAACCCGCTTTGTAATTCTCAGTGCTCACACACCTCCTGTTATACATTCTATAAAACAAAACAAATGAAAAATATCAGTTTTGTCTTCACCAAAGCTTAAAATTCATGCCATGCCTTCTGTGCCTGGCAAAAGCTGCTCCCAGGTCTTACTATCAGATAACGGATATAATATCACCGCGTAAACATAAAAATAGAAAGCAGTTTCCTCTGGAAGTCACGTGACATGTATCAGCCTATACCTTGGCAGAGCTGCTCGTTGCTCTCCGTGGGTATCAGAGGTAGATCCCGGCTGGGCATACTTTCCGAATGGTTTATATGAATAGGTTCTGAGGGGTCAGGTCTTTCCCTGCTGAGTAAAAACATAGGACACTGTTACTCAGGGGCTAAAGGGATGATACTACATAAAAACTTGATAATCTACAAAACTTTCCAAAAAGAAAAACAAACCAAAAAAACCTTTATTGTTAAAATGGCACAAGAATGACAGGAAGGCTTACCTAGACATCATGCAGTCCTGTATGTCAGAGAGCCAGGATCTCATCTGCAAGGGGTCTACTGACTCCAGGATGTACTCCGAGGAATTCTCTGTCTGGAGATCCAGAGAAATCACCATCAATATCAAAGCAGCAGAAACTAGTGCAACATAGATAACATACTTGGGGCATATATATATCTGCATTGCAGCAAGGACAGTGGAAAAGCTGAAAGGAAATTTAATGCATGCAATGTTCAACAAGAGATGTGAGTACAGTATACTGTGTATATATATATATATATATATATATCAATTTCTATACACTGCACAAATGATTGATAGAATACAAGGTGTGCTGTGAATGGACAAGGGGAGAGGAGGAGTAGATAAACTTCTTTGTATCAGAGCCACGGCTATACAATCTGGCATTAAAAAAAAAAAAAGAAAAAAAAAAAAAAGGACAGCAGCAATAGGTGGGCGCTTCACTTTTATTGGGGGGGGGTATATCCAAACTAGAGCAGACAGAATCTAGAGTAGCTGTACATTGCAACAATCAGCTTCTATCTTCAGCTTGTTCAATTGAACCATGAAAATGGAAAAGAGCAGCTGATTGGTTGCCATGCACAGCTGCTCCAGTTTTATTGAATTCCCATACTATATTAAATCGGAGTTCCACTCACGCTGTCAAAAAATAAAAGTCAACAGCTACAAAAACTATAGCTGCTGACTTTTAAAAAACAGTCACTCGCCTGTCCCACGATCCCATGGTGTGTCCCCTGCAGCCCATTTTACCGTCCATCTTCTCTCTCTGGGTGCCCGGAATCTTCAGTGTGGGCACCTGGCTGTGACAGCTTGCAGTTTCACAGCCGGGTGCCCAGAGTGCATGCGCGAGTAGCGCTGCGCTTCCTGATTGGTCCTGTAGTCTTCTGGGACCTGTCACGTGTCCCAAAAGACTACAGGGAGGGAGGGAGGAAGGGAGGACACTTTCTGTTTCCGTTCGCCTAGGCGATCGGACCGGAAGTGGGAGCTGGTACCTGTCAAATTCGGGTACCCGCTCCCCCCCCGCCCCCCAAAGGTGCCAATCCTTAATGGGGAGCGGGGGACCAGTCTTTAAAGCGGAACTTCCCCTTTTGGGTGGAGCTCCGCTTTAAGGACTGTTTTTCAAGGTAAGATTTGGCTGCTATATCATTAAATACGTTTAGGAAGACTGCAAAAGGACCTCATTAGAGATAATGTGTACAGATCCTGGAGGTGACATACAATGCAGCAGAGTAAGGATTTGTTACAGATTGGCCCCTAATGACATCCCCTTGTGATGAAACATGCAGGGCAAAGCATAGCATACTGACATCACCACGTAACACGTCCGGTGGCAGGACAGTATGGTGTCAATGTTGCCATTTTGAGCTTTTATGTGCTTTTTAAATACATTTTTGGGACTACCTGCACTATTCTTAGACATTCTCCTTTGTTTCACATGCAGACTAGAGAGGAGCTGTTTGCCTTACTATGAGTGGTGAAAAGGCTGATGGTCTCACTAATTCTGTATGGGGATGACTTCCATACATAAAGCATGGCTTGACCTCCTGAATTCTGATGTCCAACTATCTGGTACAAGTCTTAGGCGCTTTCAGAGGAGATTGTGTCACTGAGGCATTCTGGCACTGAAGCAAGGCACTACACAGTGGAAAACGTTGCACTTTGCTGGACTAGAATTTTTGGAAAATGTTCACTAAACGTGTGGTGGAGATAGATTTTGCGGAAGAGCTGCATGTATTGTTTTAAATAATTTTTTTTGCCTGGAGTTTAACTTTAAAGGATAAGTTCACCTTTGGGAACATGTTACCTATTCCATCTGTTTTTAGAGTGGAACATGTAATATGTTCCCGCCACTGCCCCGATCCCCCCCCCCCCCCCCTCCCTGTGACAGCAGTACAGGAGAACTTCCCTGTACTAGCTGTCAGTGTTTGAAAACAGCGCAGCCATTGTGGGGCTCTGCCCGCACAGCCAGCGTCATTCATGCACAGTGTACTGAGAATGAATGAACTACCTTTGCAGCGGTCGGCATGTAGTTCTCAATGAATTACCACGGCGCTATGGAGCTCTGTGGTAGGTCATTTAGTTTTCTTGTCAGACTGTATCCACTTACCCGCATGGGATGTACAGGCAAGCAGATACACCTGACAGCCCTGCATGGCACCAGCAATTTGCTGATCGCAAATGCAATGTTTTCCAGCCCCCCCCCCCCCCCAAAAAAAAATATAGTAAATGCATTTCTTACATACCAAAAAAATTGTTTTTTGGGGGGTTTTTTGGTGAACTTATCCTTTAAGGGAAAAAAAATGTTCATGAGTTAAAGATATGTACAGCAGATTTTTTTTTTTGTATTTTGCCTAGGCCTGCACTTATAATAGACTATGCATCATGTTTTACCTGCAACTAACAAGTACTCAAATAGATATATATATAGGTGCAGCACTAAAATATCAAAGTTGTCACAATAATGTACAATACGCAAAAATGATAATAAATATTGAACGAATCACAAGTGGCGAAGTGCAAATAATCACAATAAGGTGCTGATAAAGTGATAATTGTGAGCACACAATGGTGCTAATGAATCTATGTATCAATTAATATTGCACAAGTGTCCACAGATAAATGTTGAAGATTCGAATTGGTCTCAAATAAGTGCTTCAAACAGGTAATCATCCAGGTGGTGTGCTGTGAATATGTTAGGAATACGCACTCACCAGATGCGCAATCAAAGTAAGCATTTGTATGTATAATGTCAGCTGGAGGTCCCCTTAAGGATATGTACAGCCAGGTCTGGTCAGAAAACCTCGCTTCCCTTGGTCATCTGTCACCACTCAGCCGTCCTCCAGAATGGGCTCTATGATGGTGTTGGCTCATATAGAGCCCGAAAGAAGGATGCCCATAGTGTAGTATGTTTTTAAATGGTACTCTGTGGACACTTGTGCAATATTAATTGATACATAGATTCATTAGCACCATTGTGTGCTCACAATTATCACTTTATCAGCACCTTACTGTGATTATTTGCACTTCGCCACTTGTGATTTGTTCAAAATGTATCATTTTTTTGTATTGTACATTATTGTGACAACTTTGATATTTTAGCGCTGCACCTATATATCTGAGTACTTTGGAAGGTTGTTTTTGGTTACCTTTTATTGGTGCAATAGCTGCTGATGGTTTTAGTGCGCACTTTTCTTTTGTTTTATATATGCAACTAACAAGTGGTTTTTTATTTAGACTGTCTATTGTACATAAAAAAAAATAGTTCTACCCTACTGTGCTGTTCTTAAAAGGGTGTTCTAACTGCTCTTTACTTTATTCTGAACTAAAACAAAAAATGTAGCTTTATATACACTTTCCCCCCTTCCAGTCCGGACACTTTCCCCCCCTTCCAGTCCGGACACTTTCACCCCCTTCCAGTCCGGACACTTTCACCCCCTTCCTGCCCAGGCCAATTTTCAGCTTTCAGCGCTATCACACTTTGAATGACAATTGCGCAGTCATGCAACACTGTACCCATATGAATTTAGCATTTTTTTGAGACAGATAAAACTTTATTTTGGTGGGTATTTATTCACCACTGGGATTTTTATTTTTTCACTAAATGAAAAAGTCCAAACGTATTGAAAAACAAAGTGTTTTTCTTATAAAATTTTGCAAATAAATAATCATTCTTCATAAATCTTGGCCAAAATGTATTCATCTTTCTTTTTAGTAAAAAAAAAAAAAAAATAACCCAAAATTAGTTTATAACCAAAAATAATTTTTCAAAAAAAATTTTGACATTTTTATTTTATTTTTTTTATATTATTATTTATTTTTTACACTGATTGCTTTTACACCCATAAAGGCTGTAAAAGTAATAATTTCTCCTCCTCTCTGGCTGCATTCATTGAGAAATACTGTGTGAGCTGTGATTGGTCACAGCTTGTCACATGGTACAAGGCTGCTGTGAATAGCCCTGTATCATGTGATCTCTGTGATCATTCACAGATTTCACACGTAGTAAGCAATGATGTCAGAAGTGACATTTTGTTTACTACTGTTTATGTGATCACTGATTGGCCAATCAGTGATCACATGATTGGGACCTCATACAAAGGTCCTGTACAGCAATCGGTGTTCCCAGGGAGCGCGCAAAGGAAGGGAAGCAGGGAGGACGTATATAAACGGCCATCCGCTCCTGCAATGCTTCCATCCAGCCATTTATATACACGGACCGGACGGGAAGTGGTTAAAGGGAAAATTTCATTTTTGCCCATTCCCTCGACAACAAAAGGAAAGTTTCAGAGTATGGGGAAGCATGTGACCTTTCATTTGTGACAGTGCTTGGGTCTGAGCAGCCAATGACTAGGTCTCAACACTGTCACGTGGCTGACCATGAAGTCATTCTGGTCTAAACTTCAACACTAGTTGACACTGATGCTTAGACAATAGGGGGTGCTGCAGTGGGAAGGTGGCAAGACAGTATGGCAGGGTAAGTACATGACCGCCTCTTTCCAACATACAATATTAGCATTCAAAAATCACAATCAATTTTTGCTTTTAGATTTAAAAAAAGGAAAGGAAGCCCTGATCCAACACTGCTCCTTACCTTCAACACAAATGTGTTTTCCTTGTCTGGCATCTCCAATGGCGTTGTGGTCCGTACATCAGCAATAGATGAGCATGGGATGCTGACCCGTGGCTTTGTGGCCTACAGTGCAAATATAGCAAAAAAAACAAAAAACAAAACAAAAACTAGTGGAAACAGAGTATATAGAGACATACTGTACAGCAGGCACCATTCCAGTGTCAAATGGCACCACTACATTTTTAGGATCCCTCCCCATTGCTGCTGGAGTCTTCTGGATATACAAGACTCTTTGGGCAGAAAGCAGGCAGGCACGTTCCTCCCCTATGACAGGGAACTCACTGATCCATAGGGGCATGCCCAAGCCTCTCTAGCCGAGTTTGATGAGAAGTTCTATGGCCTCCTGTGAAGCTTACATTGTTACCAGGCATCATAAAATAGCCCGGCAAGAGGGGAAAATGGAGTGGGATTTGCCTTCACTTCCTGGAGATGTAACAGGAAATGAGTGAAAATCTTTACAAAGTGAGAGGAAATCCCCAACGAGACATTTCCCACTTGAACACGTCTCCTACACATATACTTAAAGGAAAACTTTTCTGACTCCTCAGTCCTAACATACTTGTTGACTGGCTGTCATCCGACCCAGCAGCTTCAATACATTTGGCCGCCTAACCCAGAACAAATATGCAGATAACAGGCTGTGACTTTCCTGAACTGCATTCTTGTTGTAGTGGTTTGGTCCCTGAGTACCCTCCTTTGCGGCTTAGGTTATGGCTCACCTTGGGAGGAATGTAGAACTCCAATATATACCCATCGCTCTCGGGTTTTCGCAATAGAAGCCGGCATTTCTGCCACCGAGCCCGGCTGCTGCTGTTCACCTCTTCTGCCACCACGAAGTTCAAAACCCCTTCCCGCCGCACGTCCCGCAGCTCCAGCCTGGGGGCCGGAGGTCTGCTTAGCCGCAGCTTCTCGAACCTGTGTGTCCATCGTTCTCCGCCTGCCCTGCCGGCTGAGGAATTGCAGTTGCTGTTGGCCCCTGTCTCATCAGTGGGGGGATTCCGCCGAGCTTCTCCACTGAAGAATCCCCCTGACGCTACCCCGTACGCTGCGGCTGACGTTCCGCAGCGAGAAGCGCTTCTTCAGACGCGGTTTGGCCGTGGCCGAAGAGGTGGAGACATCCTCCGAGCTGTGGGACTGACTGCTGGACAGGCCGGAGGTGATCCCAGAGGAGTCCTGGCGAGGCTGAGTCTCCACTGGAGATGCCAGGGAGGAGTCACTGCAGGTCTCCGACAGGTCCCTGGTGGAGGTTTGAGCACCTGTAAATGGAGCAATGCTGCAGCGGGTGGGAGAAGGACCGTCCGGGACATGGGACTTGTTCAACTCCGTCTCAAAGTGCTCCACGAAATGCTCGGCAAACCGTCTTGAGAAGCTGCTCTCCGCCCCCGGCGTGGCGTACTGTGGATTCTCGCTCAGGAAGACCCGGAACCGTCGGGCAAAGTCAAGAGCAGCAGCATGGGCGTGAATCTCACAGAACTCCTTCCAGTTCGGAGATGGAGAGGAGGAGGAGGGTCCCTCTGGGGGCAAACTACCATTCATCATGGGGGCTCCAGCTGGATCAGCTGCTAAACAAAAAGGCAGAAAAAGAGTAACACCACGATTAGAAGAAAACATTTCACCAAAATGAGAAAAAAAAATACATAAAAGTTACCAGCATTTAAGTGGCCCTTTCCTATTTCAATAATAAACCAGAACACTTGTAACCACTTGTCAACCCACTCACAGTAAATCTACTGCAAGAGGGTGGGAAGTGCAGGTACCGCCACCTACATGCACGTCGCAAGCCTGCTTCTGGGTTTTGGGTGCACACACGTGCACTCCCTGCTGATCAGTGCAGTAGTTGGCCACAGCACTAGATGGTTAGCTGATTACAGCCAATGATTGTGGCTATATACCAGCTGATTGGTTGTAGCAAATCACATAACACGGTTCTGCGTTAACAAACACACAGGACTCTGTACAGAGACAGTGATCTGGCTGTTTCTTCTCCCTGCAAAGCAGGGAGATGAAACAGCCAGATTTGTAAGTACACCAAGCACATATTACACTTGTTAGGCACACAGTTAACCCTTTGATTGACCTTAAATGCCAACCCCTTCCCAGCCATTGTCAATAGTACAGTGAGAGTGTGTGCAGTATTATATCAGATCGCTGTATTAGTGTCACTAGCGACATTAATGTCAGTCAGTTAAGTGTACCCCCAACCAGCGCCAGGTAGTGCCAAATTGCCTTCCACACTATCACCATCATTACTAGTATACGGTCACAGCTGTGGAAATTGCAGTATACATACCATCATCTGTGCACGCTAGTTTATTTTTACCAAAGACATGTAACAGAATTTTGGCCCAAATTTTGGAAGAAGTTTGATTTTTTTAATATGCTATAGAAAATAGTTTTTTGTTTTTTTAAATGTAAGGTTTTTTTTCATATATTAAAAAAAAACAAAAAAAAAACAAAACAGTGGTGATCAGATGCCATCAAAAGAAAGCTCTATTTGTGTGAAAAAAAAAAAAAAAAAAAAAATTCATTTGGGTACAGTGTTGCATGACCACGCAATTGCCATTTAAAATAGCACAGAGGTAAATAGTAAAAAATGTCCTGGTCATGAAGGGGGTAAAACCTTTCCGGAAGTCAAGTGGTCAATCACTCTTAGTAGTTGTCATGGAGCAACTATAATATTCATTCTGGTTTCCTGGACTGTGGGCAGAGACCTACACCAGTGCTTCTGTGTCATCATTCATCAAGTATTAAAATCCTAGGACCCTTATAGTCCTCCCGCTGCTATCATTCATCCAGAAGGAAGGATGGGACTATGCGGAATGTAAACTAGTCCATCCCAGGTCCATTCGCTGACAAACTCATGTAGACTTCACCTCCGCAACATCTCCAAAATACGTCCGTTCCTAACCCAAGAAACCACTAAGCAACTCATCCACTCCCTCATTATATCTCGCCTCGAATACTGTAACTCCCTCCTCATTGGCTTACTTCACCGCAGGCTATCCCCGCTTCAGTCTATCTTGAATGCTGCGGCCAGACTCATCCGCCTTACTAACCGCTCTGTATCCGCCACCCCTCTCTGCCAATCCCTTCACTGGCTTCCGATTGCCCAACACATAAAATTCAAAATGCTAACATTGACGTATAAAGCTGTTTATAATACTGCCCCAAACTACATCACCAATCTGGTATCCAAATACCACCCAAAACGTACTCCCCACCCCTCACAAAACCTCCTACTCTCTAGTTCCCTGGTCTCCTCCTCCCATGCCCGACTCCAGAACTTCTCCCATCCTCTGGAACTCCCTACCCAAATCCATCAGACTTTCACCTACTCTCACCTTTAGGCGCACTCTGAAAACCCATCTCTTCAGGGAAGCCTACCCCGCCCTCAGCTAATTACTTAACTCCTCCACTCTCCCTACCACTCCATCCCCCACAGCTATTTACTCTTGAACCACTATCCCCTCCCTCCTAGATTGTAAGCTCCAAGGAGCAGGGCCCTTGAACTCCTCGTGTATTGAATGGTATTCTTACTGTACTATCTTGTGTATTGTCTGCCGTTATATTGTACAGCGCTGAGCAAACTGTTGGCGCTATATAAATCCTGTATAATATTAATAATAGTGGGGGGGGGGGGGTACCAGCCTCTTCCTCCGGGTTAATGCTGTGCAAGAGCCTGCACACAGCTTTGTCACCCTATAAGTTTGAGTGATCTTAAAATATAACTAAAGGCAAAACATTTTTTTTAGGTTTTGGATACAGTGGACAGGTATTAGAACCCCTGTCAGGTTTTCACTGCCGCCTGTACACCCCCGTTAGGGAGTTACCATCTCTATATGTCCCGTTTGCCATTATCATTGAAAGTGAAAGTAAAAGAAAATCCCAAATTTTGGGTTGTCCCCAGAAAAGTAATCGAGAGGAAACCTTCCAATGGGAGCTCTGGTGAGCTTAGGGTCCCCAAGGAATTCCCTTAATTTGCAGGGATTTCCTCTCACTTCTTGTTTGCTATGGGACAGGAAGTGAAAGGAAATCTCCACTATGGGACACAGATGGCAAAAAAGAAAAATAAAATCTGACAGGGGTTATAACCCTCCCTTACTTTATCCAAAATGAAGAAAATGGGGGTGCGGAGTGGTTCCAGTCTCCCTGTCAGAACACAAAGGCACATCGGGAGAGATCACTACACTAAGATCACTTAGTACAGAGATCTCTCAGTTGTACCAGGCTTAAGCCATCAAAGCTAAAGTGTTTTCTACTTTAATGGTTTGGAATTATACTACACAATGTGTGGAAGGTAGAACACTTCCCGGTATTGATCACCTCTTGCAGAGATCACAGTACTCCCCCTGCAAAATAAAAACATTTTGTCACGTTTTGACTCTTTAAAAATGCTGCAAGTAAAGAAGAATTGCTGTCAATTTGCCAGAAATCCACTGTAAACTTAACTTCCTGTTTGGGCTGACAACACACAGCCTCTGCTATATTGAAATTTAAAGCAGTGTTGTCAGGCCTCAATATAAATGTAAATGGGGGTTTATAGGGAAGAGGAGGTGTTTTGTAGATCTGCAGGAGATGACAACATTGCATAGGGTTTCAGTGCAGCAGAGTCACTGTTGTCACCTCACTACAGGAATCTAGGTGCTCATTGCATTTCTGGCTGATCAACGGGTAATTTTTGTTATTTGCACGATTTGTAAGGAGACAAAACATGGTGAAATGTGCATGTATTGCAGAGATGTACTGACATTTTTATTTTAATATTTTTTCACTCAGCTGAACTCTGGGAAAGAATCAAAAACTACTTTTGCAAATAATCGTTCACTGTAAGGGTTAAATGCTCATTTTTGTCTAGTGCAGGGCTCTCCAAACTATGGCCCTGCAGGTGTTGAGGAACTGCAAGTCCCATGAGGCCTTGCAAGACTCTGACATCCACAGGCAAGACTCCCAGAGACAGCTGATGGGCCATAGTTTGGAGAGCCCTGGTCTAGGGTATCATTAAAAAAGCAGTATTAATGACCTTTTCCCATGTTCCCTCCTCCCCATGCAACGAGTGTCTCAAAGCTGCTTCTTTTCAGTCCTCTGTCAGTCGCACTCAGACTGCAGGAACTTAAAGCCCAACTCCGGGCAATTTAGAAATGACCCCTTTCAGTGTGGCTGTGCTTACACTACAAGGGTTAATTGCTCAGTAATGCCTAGGAGAATAAAAGGAAATTTACTTACCCGATCCTCCACTCCTCCCTGCAGACCAGTCCCTGCAGCGTCTGCACCCCCCATTTTTCATTGTTTTAGGGTGACGACGTCATCAAGACCATAGCAGGATTCAAAACCTTGCTCTAGATGTGAGGATGCTGAGGGACAGTCTACGTCTGGATTGTGGGGGGAGTGCCATCTGCCAGAGGAGCGGAGGATCAGGTTCCTCTCCCCTAGACAAATACAAGCTATTAACCTTTGCAGTGTTCCCAGCACCACTGCAAGGATTCATTTGTTATTTGCCCACAGTTGGACTTTAAAGTGGACCTAAACCCACATTTTTAAAAAATGAACAAGCCGCTATGTCTCTTTTGCCATAATTATTATTATACAGTATTTATATAGCGCCAGAAGGTTTGCTCAGCGCACCATAAGACACACTTACCTGCCTGCCATCCTCTAATGAATGTACACCGAGCTGCACATGTGCAGCTCAACATGCATTCCTGACACTCCAAAATGACTGACTCCCATGTGCGGAATGTCATCCCCTGCTGGCCAATCAAGAAGCCAAATCCTGGCAACCAGAAGTAGCTTGGGGAGAAGAAGACAGCAGCCAGCAGCTGAAAGGTTGAGGTAGTTTGCAAAGTTTAGTTACGCTTTAAAACAGCATTAAACCCAAAAGCAAACATTTAATATATTGCAGCTTGCCCAATTCTAAGAGGAGATGGCTGCATTAGTTTTCTGTTTTAGGCTTTCTTTCCTTTATTTTCATCTGGTGATCCAGCCAGTAAATTTGTTGTTGTTTCAACAGAAAAAGCGCTCTTGCAAATGTAGCAGTTTGTAGGGTTGAGACAAATACTTTACCAGTGACAGGGATGCTTCCAATAATCAGCATTTATTTATTCATGCAAAAACTTTTTTCCCAAAAGAAAACAATACTGTTGCTGTAATGAAGATGAAGCGTGGCTTCAATTTGTTATTTCTGTAAATTTATTATTACAAGTACTTATATATCGCCATCAATTTACGCAGCGCTTTACATATATATTGTACATTCACATCAGTCCCTAACCCTCAAGG